AAAAAAAAAAAAAAAAAAAAAAAAAATCAGGCTTAGTGGTCTGATAGAGACTGGTGAAACCCCCAAGACTATGGCCCTTGGTCACCCTTTGGGTCTGGAGTGGAACTCACTCTCCTGGCTTCCAGCCAAACAACAGATAGGCCCACAAGGTGAACAATTACACCAGGTAGGTACACTCGTTAGAACAATCAACCACAGGAGATCAGAGAGGCAGCATTTTCACAAGGAGAGAGCTCAGAGGGCAGAAATGCATAGGAAAGGTCACAGGGAAAAGGTAACGCCACAGGGAGGTAGTAGGAAGAGAGCTGTTACATTACAGGGATTGCAATCAATGTCATAAAACAAAATGTGTATGAATGGAAAATGCAGTTTCTCTGTAAACTTTCACCTAAATCACAAGAAAAAGAACAGTAAAGTTGCTGTATTGTAAGAACTTAAAGACAGATTCCTTTAGGTACCTTGTATTTTAAAATATGAAGTGCTTCTTACCTTCCATAAAACTGCAACCAGAGCTAAGAGCAAAAGGATTCCAGCAATTACACTTCCTATGATAACTCCTGTTGGTACTTCAGCTTTTTCACCAGGCTTCATTATCGTAACAGGAATCTATAGATGCATATTCACCACAATTAATTCATCTCATTTACACTGGAAAAAAATGAGATAGCCTGGTCCAACTCTCTAATATTATAGATGATGGGCCCTTGCTCTAGAAAGATGACATAACCTGCTTAGGATAACATTCTTCAATTGCACAATATGGTTGTTAGAGAAAATGCTCCTGTAAAGTCCAGGTAAGAAATGCAAATTCTCTAGTTTTTCCTCCTTAATTCCTTCAGTATTTGGAGGCCATGTCTTATCTGCCAATTTCAGATGTTTTAATTATGTAAGAATGAGAACTTCAGATTCTTGCATTCACTCTCATAAAGTGAAAGCATCTGGAACTCAGTCTTGGGAGGAGAGTCAAACAATAAACAAACTAAAAACCCAAATCTCTTGTGATTGAACAGCAACAACAGCAAACTTAGTTTGTGTTTCTGAAAGATTGATTTCACTTAATACTCATTCAAAGTTACTGAATACCAACTGTTGAAATAGTAGAGCTAATATCTTAGGTCTAATGTCAACCTTCTCATTGTTAAAATTGTTCTTGAGGTTACATATGACTCTTTACGTCCAGTTCCCCACAATCTTGTGACACTGTAATGGAATGACTATCCTAAAAGTTTTAACAATAAAACTGTATATTATTATTATTATTATTATTTGAAGTTGTGGCAAGAATCTCACACAATACATTCTTCAAGCTGTGCTCTTAGAAGCAAAATAAAGGATGCCATTGAAATTATTTTCTTGATTTAACATTGAATTATAGTGGTTGAGAATCTCCTTATTGTTACATAATTTATGGATTGAGCTAAACTTGAAGCTGGCATTTTTAGCAAATGTATTTCTTCTCTTTTGTATCTTCAAGAGGCAAAATATGGCTTTATCAGTTTATGAATAAAGTGACTATAAATTCATGTAGTGCCCTGCTTAATGGCAGTTGTATCCTACTTTCTTTATTCTAGAGCTTCTGAATCTGGGGTCCACGATCTCTATATATACATGAATACAACATTTTTTATATCAGAGTTTTAAGTGGATCAGGAATCCAAAATAATTTAGCAATCACTTATCTATCTACAGACATATATCAATTTATATTTAGATTCAAAACATTATTTTAAAAATTATCCAAATTATTATTTGGACTAAAAAATATTTTCATAGACACAAGTAATAGTTGGCCTCAGTAACATATCAGGATTGCTCAGAGAAAATCAAGAAAAATATCTTCTAGAGGGCTCATTAGAGATACTGATTTGAAGTTTTAATGAACAAGTTTATTTAATGCTGCTTTCTAAAAAGTAAAGCCTTCAAAAGAGTTCTGGGTATTGTCTGAACAATACCTTTCTCTAAAATGAGCTTTTAAAAATTCTATATAACTTTTCTCCTAGGCTAAGATCACTGCTCTTTGAATCCAAAGTCCATATTTTCCCTTGGCTCCATTTCTGGTTTTCCAAGCCCCAGTCTCTGAAGAGAGTGTGTAAACTTTTGCTGAGGCTTTTAAACCAGAGAAAAGCATTCTTTATTGTGATGAATCACTTCCCTAGAACAAGAATGGGATGGTGGTGCCTACTCTTAGACATGGAGAGAGGCCCAGAGTTCATAGGGTCATTGGTTTTTCAATGAAGCCCATAGGCTGGAGCAGTGGACTGATGCTAGCTGCCAAACTGGCCTTGGGGGCAGCACCTTCAACTGGCTTCCAATTCCTAACAAAAGCACTGGAAGGAAAATGCTCAGGGCTCTGCCAACAGATTAACTGGACATGGAAATCCCATTTTATCTAAAAATGGCAGATTCTAACCAGAATTTCAGTGCAAAGGAAAGTTGTTCCATGCCAGCTCTTAGAACAGAGAGCTTTTGTTTTCTGTGAAAGTATATTCCTCTGCAAAAAGTTTTTATCAAGGGAAGCATTTACAGTTTTCTAGAATGTAAGAACTAATTAATGGAGATTTTAAACAATGTCAGTTACTAGCTGTAACGAGTACTACTAAAAATAAAATACATAAATAAAGAACCCCTGTAATAACTGCCTTGTATATTAAAGATGCTTCAGCACCACTTTTTGAATAAAACACTCTAAAACACAATATATGATTTAAATTAGCATGCTTTAGATTTAATGGCCTAAGATCTCAGCTATTTGGTGTACGCAAAAGGAGAAAGGAAGAAGCAGTGGTGCTGAGGTAGGAATCACAATGGAGCCACAGACAAGGTGGAGCCCTTATTGTTGGACCTTTCATTGACTCCTTACTTGTAGGAAAACAGTCTTGCCAATGTGGACAGGGAGAAAGGCAAATATATCACTACATTTTTTGAGCAGCAAACACCCTTAACAAAAGCTCAACAAAAAATACCAGATTTTCAGAATTTCAGTAAGACACTACTAAATAACTGCAGGTAAGAAGAATGACTAAATTTTCAGAAATGGAGTAACTGTTATGGATTCTAATGGCCAGGGGAGGAATGTGATACACTCACTGTGACGGTGTTTTCTTCAATCACATATATTTGAGGATTATAGGTGTCAATTTCAGCAGATGCCATCAGCTGTACTGTCTGGAAAGTTGACTGGAACAAAAGAATGAAGACTGTATTTTATCCTAGCAGAAGTCAATGCATAAAACTGGGCATGTTTATTGTTTATTTATTTATTTTCTATGGAAAGTGATGAACAAACATCAACTCTGATGACTTAGATGAACCTTGAAAATATTTTGTCAAGTGAAAGAAGCCTGTCACATAAGGTCATATATTACATGATCCCATTTATATTTAATATCCAGAACAGGTAATGAATCCATAGAGAACAGGAAGCAGATTGTGGTTACCAGAGACTTAGGCGAAGGGTAGAAGAGGGAGTAAGTGCTTAATGGGTCTGGGGTTTCCTTTTGGAGTGATGAAAATGTTTTGGAAGTAGATAGTGGTGACAGATGAACAACATTGTAAATGTACTAAATGTCATTGAATTGTTCCCTTTAAAGTGGTTAATTTTCTGTTACATATGAATTTCACCGCAATTAATAAAAGAGAAGTAAATTTGAAGTCAAGCATGCATGTAAGCAGCAGATACCCTGAACCTTGTGCCAAAAGTCAGTGTAAATATACAACATCAGTAAGAATTTCAGACTTCCCCATCTAAGCATTCCATCAAATACTACTTGACTGAGGGGCAGACATATAGGAAGAAACTATGTTTTATGCTGAAGTTCCTAGTGACTTTCTAATATGAAATACACTTACATGCATCTGTTTTTTGATGAAAACATTATTGATGTGCATATTCCATTGCTTTATATTTTTCCCTATAATATAAATATTGAGCCTGATACTTACTAGGAAATAGAATAATATGCCCAGTTTTTCATATGCTCTGCCTAGTAGGTCTGTTTTTCTGGTTACTAGGGCACAGAATTCAATATACTCCATGAAGTAATTTGCTAAACTATATCGAGTAGCCAAAAAGAGAGAATATATTTCCAAAAAATGAGTAATTTATTTCCTTTCCACTAACTCAGTCTCTAATTACTCTTTTTTAATTTATTCAAGATGGAGGATGACATCAGAAGTTAACTCTGATCAATAATAGTCTCTTAAACATACATAATTGTTGTTGTTGTTGTTAAGTGCCATCGAGTCATTTCCGACTCATAGCGACCCCATGCACAGCAGAATGAAACACTGCCCGATATACATAATATGGGGGTGCATTAAATGCATTGATGATGGTTTAAGTAAACAAATAAATAAAAAGTAGCAGTGAAGGGAATATTGATTTACACAGTTTCAATAGACTAAAGATGAAATAATTTTTCCTACAGTACTGACATATTTGCACTCTCATGTCAGGCCCTTCTCCACAATTATGCAGCATAGTAGTGATAGGTACACAAGACACATCTGGGAAAGTGATCTAACATACTTATTAACGTTCATCAAGGATTTGCCTTACAAATGGCCACCAACACTGCCATCCATTTGGAGGCCTGACCAATTGCTTTGTATTGAAATTGATTAAAATGTGATGTTGGCTTTCACTGCATCAAAAAAAAAAAAGGTAACAACTAAAGGCAGTATATTAATATGGTTCCAATAAGAGAAATGAGATCCATACTGCAGACTGGATCTCCTAGGTGGTCTGGGAAAATCCACTCTGTGGTTGAAATAGCTGAAAATAAGGTGGGGACAAACATTTGACCTTTCATGAAGGAGGAAGATACAATAACTCTCAAGAGTGTTTTCTTAGTTTAACCACCATAACCACATTGGAAAAGCATAAAAAATACACTTTAGAATTTTTCTCACAGAAATGAAACCAATGCTTTTGAAGACCTTCAGGAAGATACTTAAAAAGTCTCACAGTTAAAATGATGTAGCTTTAAACAAACTCAAGAAAAATCAAATGCTTTTTACAGAGCCAGCGTGATTGTATTTTGATGTGCGACAGTCAGTTTTCCTTCCCAGCTGGCCCAGGGTGCTATGAAAACATTTGTTCCCTGCATCCAAGGAGCCAAGTGGTGAAACAGAGCACCAGGCTGTGGCAGCTGGGAAGGTTCTGTGACTGAGGGCACGCTGCCCATCTTAGGATTTAAGTCATCGTGAAAGTTTGAAAGCAAATGTGAAATAAAGGAAAGTCAACACTCCCCACTCACCCAATTCTCTTTTTTTTTTTTCCCCCTCCCTCCTTTCACTATTTATCTTTTTATTATGCTTTTCTCCAAGAATATTGCTTCTATTTTGGATCCAGGGACAAGTTCAGAGGGAGGTTAGTTTTCTAATCTTTTATAAAAGTCCACAGCAGGTAATGGGGTTTGTTGGAGAAATCATGAAATAGTGAGAAAACAGGGAGTAGAGACTGGTTGGGAAGCACCTTAAGAACTGATTTATTCATTAAAATATAAACAACAACAAAAACCAGTGAGATCACAAGGCTTGCAGGGGGTTTTAGACTAATTTATAACTTGATGCTTCAATCCAAGTCAATGTTGGTTAAAGGAATAGCTAGCCAACCACACAGAGTTAAGGAGACCTGCCTATCCTTATAAGGAGCTCTGGTGGTAGAGTGGTTAAAGCATTTAAACCCAAAGGTTGGTGGTTCAAATCCACCATCTGTTCCACAGGAGAAAAGTGAGGCAGTGTGCTTCTGTAAAGATTTGCAGCCTTAGAAACCCTGTAGGGAAGTTCCACTCTTTTCTATAGGCTCCCTACGTGTCAGAATTGACTCAATGGCAGTGGGCTTTGTTTTGGTTTGGTCTATCCTTATGAGGTCCCAGGTGATGCAAGGGGTTTGCACTTGGCTACTAACCAAAAGGTTACCAGTTCAAACCCATTCCATGGTGCTACAGAAGACAGATGTTGCAATCTGTTCCCTTAAAGATTACAAATAAGCAAATCTTATTGAGCTTATTCTACCCTGTAACACATGGGGTTGGCATCAGTCAGAATGCACTCACCAACAACAGGGTTCGTTTTTGGTCTATCCTTATATTTTTCATACCAGACTCAAATTCTAGCTGTGGATCTTTGCTGAAAACAGTTATCACTAAGGCAAAGTCACACCTGACAGATGGGAAACAACACTGACATTGTTTTGGCACTCTCTTCAAACATTTCATGGTGATTGAAATGGTTTGAAAAGTTATGCATTCAGTGAGCTTTCATCAGAAAAAGGGTATAATAGAAAAGCAGAGCAGTTACCTGGCTCTGGTAGACAAAGAAGGACCCTTATGCTAGATTCATTTACTGGGTGGTTGGAGATCAATCAAACCATTAGTTAAGTGCTCAAGGAATGAGACGTGGACCTGTGCATTTTGATTTGGGTGTGGTAGAGGAATTGAGGGGATAGTGAGAGAGACAAAGCAGGGGCCCAGTGTAGCTGAGGGCCAGCACAGGGTTCCCTGACACCATTCCCAGAGATTCTGATGTAGTAGATTGGGGTGGAGTCCAAAAAGCAGAATCTTTCCCAAGCAGCTCACGTGATTCTGGGGCATAGCCAGATTGGGCAAGCCCTGGAAAAGGAGAGAAGCCTGACGTCTTCCAGTACAAAAGCGCTCTGAGTTATGTAGGCACCGCTGATATTAGCTGGAATGCTAATTTTGTCAAAAGGTAAGGACTTCCTGACAATGAAGCCTTACATTTTCTTGTTATTGATAAATCCAATAAATAAAGCTGATACTTACTGCTGCAAAAGTCCCATTCCAAATTCGAGTGGACACATTAACGAAGTATTCTCCTTTCACCTGAAGGTCTTTCAGCCAGCAGGTAACATTACCACATGAAGCAGTTCTACAGTTCTTTCAGATTGAAGGCATTGGTGAAAGAAGAGAGAGGGTTAGTATGGGCTTTTAAAAAACAAATGCTAAAATTGTATAAAAACTGATAAAAATCCAGTGCTGAGAAGACTGGGGAAACAGACAACCACATGCATTGCTAGTAGCCATGACCCTTCTTCACTGTGATGATAAGACTTGGAATGTAAGAAGTGCGTACCCTTTGTGCCAGACATCCCCCTTCTATATATCATTTCAGAAGATAATCTTAAATATATGGACAAAAGGACACCAAATGTCTTATCTACTATTTCTTTGAGTAATAAAATAAAATGTAAATAACTCATGTTTACCAACAATATACTGATTACATTAGCTTCTAGTTAATTATTCAACATACACAAAATGCAGTATAATTCAGTCATTAAACCTTCTGAGGCATTCTTTACATTTAAAAAAAAAAGAAAGAAATCTATGGCATATTGGCCTACAGAAAAGGTGGAATGATACAGTGACACAACAGCATACATGTGTCTGGAGCCTCTGGATGGTGCAAATGGTTAATGTGCTTGGCTACAATCTAAAAGCTTGGAAGTTTCAGAACCACCGTGAAAGAAAGGACTGTCATTTTGCCTATCTACTCTGAAAAATCGGCTACTGGAAACCCTAAGGAACAGTTCTCTTCTGAAATACATTGTGTTGTTATGAGTAGGAATCACCATGATGGCAACTTTTTTTTTTTTTTTTTTTAATACATGTATCTACATGTTGCTAAATGCTTAGAGATACAGAGAAAGAAGGATGTTCATCAAATGTTAAGACTGGTCAGGTTTTAGATTTCTGGAGAATTTTAGTTTCTTTGTAAGATTTGCATTGTTTGAATTCCTCACAAGGAGCAGTTGCTATTTTTACAAAACCAATAAAACATCTTCAAAAAATAAGGAAAATGCTGAGAAGTGTTATATCTTCACATATCCTGAGATGAGTTTTATTGAGTATGTTTACATACCACTATTTCAACTCATAGGAGCTCTGGTAGCATAGTGCTAAGGCACTTGACTGCTAACCAGAAGGCTGGTGGTTCAAATCCACCAGCCACTCTTCGGAAGAAAGGTTGGGCAATCTACTTCGGTAGTGATACTGCCTTGGAAACCCAAGTAGGGGTCTCTATGAGTCAGGTCTGACTCGACGGCACATAATAGCAACAACAACATTTCATCTCATACCACATTTACCCTATAATTATTCTATAACTATTTGAAAAGTAATATTTTCCTTCTCCGTCCTTCACAAAATAAAACAAAAGCCATAAACATAGACCTGGAGAATTTCAATGGTGTTCCTACAAGGAGAGCTGTGGTTTGGTTAGAGTTTGCTGTCTGCTACATGCTTCTTATTTAAATACTTATTATGTGCCAAGCATCATGCTAGATGCTACACTAATCTCATTCTCAAAGAGGAGAACACATCCAGGAATAGGAGATAATAAATATGGAAATACAGAGAAGGGTGGCCCAAGAGGCATATTTAGCAAAATAAAAAGCATCAGTGATTATGTACAAAAGGAGTTAAAAGGGTTTCATCTCTAAAGCACATACCCCAGTATGCTCACAGCTCTTTTGAATTTTTTCTAAACAATTCCAGATAGAAACCCAGGAACAATAATTTTTCATGGAGTCTTTTTGATTTCATGAACTTTGGAATATTATTTTATAATATAATAATGTAAGTAATAATTCCAGTAACTTAGATTTGAGCATGTATTTTGTAAATGTTGATTCATACAGACCATCAAAAGCCAAATAAGAATGGTCCCTGGGTAGCACAAAGAGTAAACACCCTCAGCACTAACTGAAAGGTGGGCAGTTCGATTCCACCCAGGGATGCCTCAGAAGAAGGGCTTGTCAATCTACCTCTGAATAACCAGTCCTAGAGAACTCCATGGAGCACCATTCTATTCTAACAAATATGGGTTGCCATCAGTTGAAATCAACTGAACTTTTGTTTTTCTTTTGGATAATATGAAGTGGCTTCATTTCCAGATCAAACAAGCAATGAATCACTGAAGGAGACTTTCACCATGTTAACCTTTCCTCACCAATTCTTTTATGTGCTGGAAATTTTCATTCTTGAAAGATACAGAAGATGATGCTTGTCCTATTTTCAGTGGATTTATTTCTGCATTGCAACTGATGTCACCAGCCTACAAAGAAGGACACCAAGTCAGTGTTAGGAAACAAAATGGTTTACACCATTCCTTTCAATGTGTTATGAAATCCTACTGTCATCTGCTGGGGCAGGGAAGGGCTGGGAGGCTTCTTTCACTGCACTGACCTGGCCACAGTGGTGATTGCTAAGCTCTGAAGTACTCAAATCATCCTGGCACACTGCTTCTTATAGCTCATATGTGATGAGAGAAATTTGCAATGACAGGATGCTGAGAGGGATTTTAATTCAGGTTTGTATTTTTCTGGAACATTTTATGGTTTTGATTTCCTGGAGTCATCTATCACACCCCAGGAATAACACTACTGTAGAACCAGCTAGGTGCTAGACTAAGGTCAAGCCAGTGTCAAGGGTTTGCTACAGCAGTGTTTTCCAACCCAGCTGTGTATTAGAACCACCTGGGGAGCTTTTAAAGAAAAATACCAAGGCCAGTGCCTTACCCTTAGAGATTTTGATTTAATTGCCTAGGGAGGGTCTGGGCATCACTCTTGTTCAAAAATGAGCAGATTAGAATGAGCATCAGAGTTGAATAATAATGGCCCAACATCCAGGCTGGCAGCTTAAATCACCTTCTAATTGCTGTGTAGACCTACTACTCTTCCACTGTGGATTCAACCTGTCATTTCCCAGATGAGTAACTTCTCTCTTAATAATTCTGACAGAGTCAGATCTTTACCTGCAAAATGGGGATTGTGGAATATTTTCTGCTGTCAGTAAGTTCCTAACTCAAATTTTCACTTTCTTACAACTATAGCTTGCTTCTAGTATAAACTTAATTGCTAATTAATTGGTGCCCAGGATACTTGGGGGTTATACCCTCACTTTTCCACCTATAAAATGTTAGACGTGATCACCCCACACTCATTTCCATTTTTCAAGTCACGTTTTTTATAGGCAACTTTGTTATCTTTACCTGGTCTGTGTGCATGCCAATCAGATACATCAGTGGGTTCTTTTCTTTGGTATATTGAGGGATGTGGATGGTTACATATGCCATACTTACTGGAACACTTCCTGTTGTTACCTACGTAGGGAATAAAACATCTTGATTATCTATACATGATACTGTACATGATGCAGAGAGATGATCAATAATCTCTGTGTCTCTGAGGGGCAACCGTAGAATGTGGTTGTTGTTGTTGTGATGTGCCATCAAGTCAGACCCAACTCATAGTGACCCCTCCTTGGGTTTCCGAGGTGGTATCACTATGGAACTAGATTGCCCAACCTTCCTTCCAAGGAGTGGCTGGTGGGTGATTCAATATGAAAGTGAAGTTTATATAATATAGAAACTCTTTGGGTCTCTGTGTTTCACCTCTTAATGGAAATCTCCACATCTACAATATTAACTGATACATAATTTGTAATGGAAGAGATGCAGTATAGTGTAGTGTTAAAAATACTTCCTATGGAGTTGGGATGGTGGGATGTGGAATCCCACTCTGCCACTGATCAGCTATGTCACTTGGGAAAGGTACATCACCTCTCTATACTTCAAATTTCTCATTTGAAAAGTAGCAATGATCAGGATAATGAGAAACTTAACCAGGTGTGCATTGGTACAGTGCATCGGCTGGCATCTGTTCTCACATGTGGGGTCCTTGCTTTAGCTGCCTGGTATTCATGCCCTAAAAAACAAACCCACTGCTGTCGAGCTAATTCTGACTCATAGCAACCCTATAGGACAGAAGAGAACTGCCCCATAGGGTTTCCAAGGCTGTAAATCTTTTTTTTTTTTTGTTTTAATTGTGATTTGGGTGAAAATTTACAGAGCAAATTTACTTTTCCTACAGCAGTTCACATACACTTTGTCTCATGACATTGACCACAATTCACCACAATACAACAACTTCCCTCTCACTTCCCCCTGACAGTTACCTCTTCCCTATGTCCCTCCCTCCATGCACCCCCATCCCCTGAGCTGTCTCCCTGTGCATAAAAAGCCCTTTTTTCTCCCATGATTGTTCTCTGTAAGGAGTGTATCTACCTCAGATAAATGTTCACCTCCTATGCCTGTCTTTTGCTTGGCTGGAAGCCACAGGTGTGGGTTCAATTCCAGACCTGAAGGGCAGCTAGGGGCCATAGTCTCATGGTTCCACCAGGCTCTATCGGACAAGCAAACCTGCCCCCCCTCCTTTTTTTTTCCAAATGATTTTGAGTTTTGTTCCACATTGTTCTCCCTCTCTATCCAGGATCTCCTACATAGATCCCATTCCAAGTGGTTGACAGTGGTAGTCAGGCACCATCTAGTTCTTCTGGTCTCATAGTCATGTAGGCTGTGGATCACATGGTGTGCAGTCACTAGGACTAATTCTTTCCATGAATCTTTGATTTTTTTCATTCTTCTTTGTTCTGGATGAGGAGAGACCCAACGTTGCATCTAGATGGCTGCTTGCAAGTGATCCCAGCTGCTACTTGCCAAAGTAGGAGGTGGAACAATGTTTTGTGTAGTGTGTTATGCCAATGGAGATTGATGTTCCCTGCAACTATGGTCCCGAGCGCACAGGTTCAACTACTCGGTCCCTCTGGGTAGCTGGCTGTGACCAAGAAGTGACTACAACCTTGTCCCTTGTCAGCTCTACTATG